ATGTACCTGTGTGCAAATGTGATATGAATACAAGCATAAATAGAAACAAAGTAACATCAAATGATTGAAAATAGTCTCCATTTTCCTAAGGGCCAGTTTGCTAGATCAAGGGAGCTTAAAAATCTGTGAGGTTGAGATTGAGGAAGCTCATACAGCTTTAGCTACTGAGGCATTCCATGGTGCTTATGTTTCCCAGTGTGTATACCATTGTGGTTGCATGTGATAAGCAAAGGTAGTATCAATACATTTTTTGAGGGCCTCCTCATAATGCTATAATTGAGACAGCAGGTTTAGGAAGGAAAAATAGCTCCAACAATATGCATAAACTACACAGACCAACTGCTCGGGGAATGGTCACTGCAATCAAGCTAGGAAAATGTGCCAGCTGCTTGTTAAATGTGTTTATGCTCTGATGCAATTCCTCTTTAGTTATCTTAATTGCTGGAGACACTGAACAGAGTACAAACACTATGTTTTTTCATGCAAATCCCTTACATATTTTAGGCCCAGCTATAAACTTGCGGAATGCTTTGCATGTTTGAAGTGCAGTGCAGTAGTAAAACTGCTTCAAGGGCTTAGACTGGCACAAGGGAGTATCATCATTTCCAGCTCCAAGCTTCAGTTACATACAGTTTACTTTCGCTGAAGAATACACCATTTTCGGAAAACAGAAATATATCTTAGCCACGTCTGCATTTCAGCTTCTATGAATAAATGGATATTAGAAATATCTTGATTCAGATGAGTATTGAAACATTATATCACCTCATGCAACCCAATATACCCTCTACCACTGATGGTTATTTTAATAAAAAGGATGATAATGACACTTTCATAATTCTAGGTTTATTGATTTAATCCTAGACACAATTAATTGTAGTTTTAATAATCATTTTAAATATGCATAGTCTATTAATTAGTATAAAAATGTCAGGCCACTGAGCAACACACCAATTGAGCATCTACATGGCTGTAATCGTAAGCAATAGGATGGAATAAGTCGCACACTGGTGTGTATGCCTTGATAATAATAGCATCAGAAAAAAATGGTAAGAAAAACAACATGCATGCACAATTACAGAAAGCAACTCATTTTACATTAGCGTATTGTGCTTTTAGCTGTTTGTGCATTAATTGGGCTATTATGGAATATGCTGTGCAGCATATTTTTTGGTCAAGTCAAAGTCTGTATTTTGTTAGAAATGCTGATGTGATTTTAGTGTATTCTCCCCAGTTTTGGTTGAAATTAGAATTTCATATCCAAGAAGCTTAAATTGAGGTGCCAGAGTGTGAGCTCCAAAGGGTCTTAATGGGATCTTATAACCAGTGGTGCTGGCATGGACATTTCACACAGTTGGAGCCTCTGCTCCATGCTACATTCTCTCATAGCATTTCAGGTTAATGTACTCAGCCTGGTCACAGTCATTTGTGAGTAATGCATTTTGTCAGGGGTGTTGTACCATTTGCCAAGGCTGTCTAGGGGGATTGTCACTAGGGGATTGTCAGTGGGGTATTTGCCAGGGTCTGCATTTATCCAAAGCTACCGATGAAACACCTATGCTGAGTATTTCCCAGCTGTCAGTGACATCACTTCCCAGAAGTGAATGATGATGTATTGGGATGCTCTTGCATGAGAGGTTTCAATCTTGTCACATTTATAACACATTAGAGGGACTTTCAGCCTGCTCACTTGCAGCCAGTATATTTGGCAAACGGGTGTAAAGGCTGTGATTGTGAAACATTTTCTTTGTTTCTGAGCAGTCACAGTCAACGTTCCAAATTAAATGTATCTCTCTCAACCGCTCCCTATCCTCTCTCTAACTATTTGTGTCTGTCTGAGTTATCACGTGATGGAGCAGACAATAGCGAGGCACTCTGGCACTACGGAGAGGTTAGCTGGGGTTTTTGTGTTGCTTGTCAGTGACGGGGGCATCTGAGCTGTGAATAGGATCATTGAGTCGAAGGTAATTTTGGGCCCCTGTGCAGGGTATTAGTTGGACAGGTCTTTCTGCTGACAGGCCTCTTTCTCCCCCTCTCTCTCTCCCCCTCTTTTTTTTTTTTTTTTTTTTTTGTGTTAACCAAGACGCCCAGTCCCCTCTGCTGTATTGGCATTTTTCTGTCCGAACCAAAGGCCTTTATAGTTCTTCCCATGACGACATGTCTGATAGGGTGTGGCACCCAAGGCCTTTTGTGTTCATCTCTGTACCTTGGGGAGCCAATACATTTAGATTTAGATAAGCTGCAGCTTCCAGGTTTTAAGCGGAGCTGCACTACACATTTCTGTGGTTTTAGAAGCCACCAGTGTTTGATAAATGAATAGACACATGCTGGACATTCCCATTCATTATCATTGAAAATGGCTGAGCCTATTGGGAGTTTGTGTAGCGATTGCTTTGGGGGCTGACTGTTGAAGCCTCTCAGAGGTGTCTTGATGACCAAATTTCAGACGATGTTAAAGAGCTGGAACTCAGCACAGCAAGAGATTTGGGCTAAAAAAATTCACAGGGGTAACACTGCTGTCAGGTGCACTGCTCCACACACACACACACACACACAGAAATGTATGGTGAAAAGCAGAAAATGGAAACATGGGCTGCAGCACTGAGGGGCAGAAACCAAAATGTGGCACAGTGGGTGAGAGTGATAGTTGAGATCAGTGATAAGTATTGAATTAATGGCACTAAATATTTAGGTCAAACAGGGTGAGCCAGATGAAGTGCTGCAGTCCATTATGACTTGTTTCAGATTTTTCTTTGAAATATTCAGTTATTAACGTAGCTGCTTATTAATTTTCCTTCGATCAATTAATCAACTAATTGTTTGATCTCACCTTAATAATCCAAGCACCGCAGTCAGAATAGTGAGAGAGTGAGGCTATACTAACCACTAACACTGTGAAGCCTCTTAAATCCATGGACCTTTCTTCTGCTGTATTGTGAGTTATTTTGACAGTTCCTTGCTCTGTATTCTACCACTGTCTCAGTATCTGCTGACTTGGGTTGCCTTGCGATTGCCTGAAGGCTTTGCGTTTACAGACGACTGGTGTAAAGGCAAAATCTTTAGAGAGAGAAGGTCATCTTTCTGATGTCAGCTTTGCCAGGTTCAAAGAGAGAGAAAAACTAATTGGTCAAGGCTAATTGAACTAACGCAGCCAGGAAGAAGATAGCCAATATCAAGTGTTTTCCAGTAGATAACAAAGATCTTATCATCTTCTATTCATTATTGGAAGTGCTGGCTCTCCTGCAATGCCATTTCACCTTGTGTGCAGTTGAGCAATACTTTGTCAATTCTTAAGGTTTGCAGTGCTGCTTTGTTTTGTCAATGTTTTCATATTTTAGAAGGCTAGAACAGCATGCAGTTCATGGTCCTTGTAGAGGTTTGTTTTTCTTGTTCGAGTATTGATCCAGTAAAGCAAGATTGCATTTTCATTCATCAGGATGAATACATGTCAAATTTCAAACTTTCCTCAGCCGACTTCGTACTTCTGACTTTCTCTCTCACTTGCGTTCTACCTTTCACATTCAAAAACCTGCTAGTTTGTACAGGATGCTCGTGCTATTTTTTTCTACAGTTCTTTTGGCACATTCATTTTTCAGTAATAGCTTCTTTTTTTTAAAGAACATTTGCCTTTCCTTTCCTGCTGGTGTGCTGCTTTCAGCCATTGCACCTTTTGTTGCTCACTAAAAGAAACAAGTACACATTTGTCAGTGCTGGCACCAAAGAAATATACCTGAATAGATCTACCTTATCTGCTGTTAAGCAGCAAGAACAGTGTTAAATTCACCCTTTTCATCACGAGGAGATTCACTTGTAGTAGTGTGTGGTGCACATTGACAGAATTGATTGCATTTGAGTGATATTATTAAATTAGGTGTGAGGGTTAAATGTATGACTTCCTTTAGACCCCAAGCTCCTCTATTGCATCTTGCTCCACAGCCCAGAGGAAGTCCGTATGCTCAGATTGCAGATGACACACTAAAGACATGAGTGGGTCCCTAAGGTAGCAGCACAAAGGAAGATTAGGCACCCTCCTGCAAGGCTTTTGTTAAGTAATTCCACATCTGCTTTAATAATTCAAAATGGCACCAGCAGAGCCTCCGCACAAATGATATATGGTAACATTATGATCTCTGTGGCCAGGAGGAATTTTATATTTTTTCTTTTTATGCCATTTTGTGTGCTATAAACACAAGTGGGGCCTGCCAAGGAAACATATCCACACAAAAGGATCACTCCGTGAATCTCGCGTGTGTGTGTGTGTGTGTGTGTGTGTGTGTATATATACATACATGTAGGAGCTACGTAAGCTGTACTGTACTGTCACTCACTCATAACATGACACTTGTACCACTGCCACTGAGGCACCTGTGGGATTCGAACCCTCATGAGCCACCTGTCTGTAGTGTCTGCACACATGGGTGAATTTCAGTGTGTTGTCTATGTTAACACGTTGATGAAATAAACATCGCATACATTTAGTACTGTCTGTCGAGGAGCTGAGGATCAGGAATTTGTCCACACAAAGCATCCCTGTATGTCATGGGGAAGAAAGCTAGCATGTGATGGAATTAGCTGAAACTAAAATGCCTTATCTAGTAGAATTAAATATGCTTATTTGTGCTGTATATATTTTCTCAAACCTAAACACAGCAGATCATTTAGATAGTCTAATTTACACATCAGGTTTAAAATGGAATATTTTGGGTTTTTTGGATTCTTCTTTAACAGCCCTTAAGGGACAGGCTTCTCTTTTTTCTGTAGTTTCTCTCCCTACAGCTCTCTCTTCCACTGCACCTGTTTTCAGCAATACCTTTGGGGCACAGCTTGAAGTGAATAATGTATGAGCAAGAAGGAGAATCAGAAAACCTTTGTGGACCTTCTGTTTGTCTGTCTGGCTGTATTTCTTCCACCTCCTTTGTCTCTATATCTTTCCCCCCCTAGGTTTTTCTCACCATTGAACTAATTTTTAACTTAAATCCATCTGTCTCTGTCTTTTGCAGTGAGGTTTCTTGACTGTGGCCGAGGTGGTCTTGTGCAGTTTGAATGCAGTAACCCATCTGACTTCTGGATAGAGGCCAGTGGAGTAGTATATACTGCCAGGAGTCTTCAGCACACTACACTCCCTGTGTCACCATTGCTGATCAAGGCTAGTGACACCACCACACAGGAGGAATGGGTGGCCGAAGTCAGGCTGATTCCCTCCAGCCAGCAGGTAAATAAGCCATGACCACTTTCATAGCATTTCTGACTTGTCAGTTGCCTAATGTTTCTATTGTAGAAAGGTTCAGTGATCAATTCTGCCCTCGCATCAAATAACTTCGCTTATTAGGCACACTGCACATTCACAGATGACTACTTCCCTAAACTGTAGCAGGTGTTTCGAGAGACTGGATAGATGCTTGCTAATTAAAACTTAATGTGTCAATTTACTAGGTGCACAAACATATACTCAACACGGTCAGCGGGTAGCAAGAGCAGATGCAAAATAGCTCCTCATAAACTTGATTTCAGCGAGCATGCCATGTGATTGTGTGGTGTAGAAGAGAATTATTTATGTAGAGATACTGCTTGCAAACCAATGATGGTAAGATGATGTCATGGGGTAGGACTGGATAAGTGTAAAACTATGGAATAATTTAAGTGTAGACATAAAAAATAGTAATAGAATTGATGAGTTTAAACATAAATATAAAGGTATGTGTCAATCAAGATATATGCAAGAACAGGCTTAATGATTAATTAGATGGAACATTGTGGGTGTGGTGTATGAATGTTAACACTCTGTAATAATTCTTTAGTATATTACTTGTGTTGTGTAGAAGAGAATTATTTATGTAGAGATACTGCTTGCAAACCAATGATGGTAAGATGATGTCATGGGGTAGGACTGGATAAGTCTGACTTCTTCCTACTCCATTCAAGCATGTACTAGGTATAAGCAAATTGATATTGGATTAGCATTTGTTGGATATGTATAAAATTATGTGTGTTGATATATCAACTGTCTTTACATGCTTGAAAGAATAAATCAAATCAAAAAATCAAATTGTGAGGTTATTGCCTTAGAATCCAAAAGGGGATGCACCTCTTTCAGTGCTTTGAAAGATGGAAGCAGCTGTAGAGTGCTGTGCTAACCATTCCACTGGATGTGTTGGTGCAGTCATCTGCAATTAGTTAGAATGACCATTGTGCTCATATGTCAACATTGTGTTTAGGTTCGGAAGAAGCGCGCAAAAAGGGCACTGCACGTGGCCTGTTTGTCTTGTAAAACACAGTGTTATTGCAGAGGTTTAAACTAAATTGCCAATGGGTTATGTGATCCTGCTCATTTAGATAATATCTGTTACTTTAGACCAGGGGTGGCCAATTCCAGTCCTCGAGGGCCACTGTCCTGCTTGTTTACCAACTATCCCTGCCTGACCTGCTGCTGATTACCTGGCTCAGGTGTGTTCAGCCAGTGAGAAGCTGGAAGATACCAATTCACTTTATCTTTTCCTCACTCCACTTTCATCTAAGATGGTATCTTCCAGCTTCTGACTGGCTGAACACACCTGAGCCAGGTAATCAGCAGCAGGTCAGGCAGGGATAGTTGCGGCCCTCGAGGACTGGAATTGGCCACCCCTGCTTCAAACCTATAGGAGTGATGACACACAAACACACACGCATGCTATTTTCAACTGTATGTTTTACTCTGTATCCTGACACATTTTATAGGGTTTTAAGTGAGCCTTTATGTGTATAGTTTAATAATCATAGTTGTAACATCTCAGGAGTTTTCTGGTGTCTTAATGAACACCACCTTTTTGCTGTAGTCATGTTAGATTTAGGAAGGACAATGTGCTTTTCTTTTCAATTCCTGTAATACACAAATAACCATAGTTAATTAGTTATTTCTAAATGTGTGGTGCAGGAGCTAATCTCTGGAACTTTCTAGGTACCTAATGAAAGTTACTTCTGATAGTTGTGTGCAGTTACTATCAGTGCTGCGGGTGCAGTGGTCTGCTGGGCCCTAAATTAGAGTTGTAGCTGGTAATGATTTCATGGCTTTTCACATTTGGCACTGACACTCATTTACTATAGGCATTGCTGCAGGTATGTGCTTTTAATGATACCATTAATCATTGTTGTTGGCTGGTCAAAAGCAAATACATACTTGTCCCAAACAGGTATACAGAGACTTGGTCAAAGTTTTTTTTTTATATTTTAAGTGAAAGCCAGAATCTCACATGGGTTCCATACGCGTATACAAATTATCAACTGTATCATCATCACTAGTTACAGTTTGATGTGTATCTATTTTAGAGTGTGGATACCCAAACCGAGCCCAATGAGACCCATTGGTTCCTGGAGGTTCGGGCTGGGTTTGGACATAAATTTAGAAATTATGTTTGGGTCCAAGTTGGGTTCGGACACACGGATCAAACTTTAGACTAGACGGCACTCGAATTTCTGCTTCATTCAATGACAAGGTGGGAAAACACCATACAACTTGAACAGTGTTGGGCTCAGATCTGTTCGGACATTATATACTATAAGGCTGTTGGGTTCAGATAGAAATATGCTGCCCAGTCCATGCCCTAATCTGTTGAGAGCAGTTGGATTTGCCCTGACTTGTGCATAATGAAATCAGAGTTTTGACTTTCCCCTATTTTACACGTTTATGAGGTCATGAGAAGTTATCTTCCCCTCAGCACAATTATTGTCATGAATCATCATGCATCTCTTAATCATATCAGCAATAAAATTTGTTTTATTAGTGCCATGAACGCAGCATCCTTGGGGAAACAATTTAATTAATGGCAACCAAACAATACCCTCATTAACATGGGTGTCCTCACCCAGTTTCTCCCCCTCTATTAGAACCTCTGCTCCATCACCGTCTGTGAGGAGAAAACGTTTCAGAGTCTGAGAACTTCCCAATCACTCAAACACTCAGGCCATCACTCACCCCAACACCATCTTGGACACTGAAGTCAACTCCTAGTTAGAAGATGGGGCGGGGGGGTTCAGAGTGTGTGGATGGCGTAGACTTTGGGCACACCAGAGATAGATGTGTGTTGAGCTGAACAAGCCCACCATGCCATTCATCATTCCAGACACAGGTTACAAATAATTACTGCTCTCACTCGCACCCATATTAATAAGGTAATAGATATTTCTGAAGCATGCTCCTTTGCTCTCTGTCTAGTTGCTGCACTGCATTTCCAATGTGTAAGAGCAATGCAGTATAGGCAAATTTCAAACATGATTAGTGGAAGCTCTCAGACAGCTCCCCAGATGTTATAGGAGGGAGAATATGGGATATGGTTCGTGATGTAAGGTGGTAAAGTGTTAATTAATTTCTCTGTCTCTATAGGACACTTTGTAGCAGTTTGTAGGGCTAAACTGTTTCACAGAAAATCAACATGCAAATAATTACAGGCAACAGCGGGAAAGATACAGTACTTCAAGGGATATGGCAGATCCATTGAATTCCAAGCTGTCATTCCTTGACATCAACAGATTTTACAGATTGTTTTTCTGTTTTCCTTCCTGTCTTATTTTGTTCAAGGTTATTTTAACTTTCTCTGGCACTGCTTCAGTCTCCCCAGTCTCTGGAGCAGCATAGACAATTTGAGCCATCTGTGTGTTTAGTGTTTGACTTGCAGGTACCATCCTCCTTTGTTTCAAATCTCATTCATTACAGCTGAGGGAGGATGGCAGATCCATTATGGAAGCCAGTCTATCTGTGTGGGTGCATTTTATCAGGACATATGAAGAGGCCTGCCATTTAAAGCGAACCAGTGCTGGTGCTGTGTGGCTGCCATCTGTGGTAGCCACACCAAAGCATGTCAAGGCATATCATCACATGTTGTACTGTAGAAATTTAAAGCTACAAAGGAAGTTATAAAATAATGGAGTGTTTCAATAAACACTCATTTAGAATAGGTATTACAGTAAATGACATTTGGGAGAGCTTATTAGGTTTAGTAGAAAATGCCAGCCTGATTTCTTTTATCATCGCATCAGTTTCCTTTTGTAACCCAAAAAGAGAAGGGTCATCAGTCATCCTAAAATACCACTGAAGTAAGGTGTCTCTCTGGATTGCCATATGCTGCTGTTGATTATAGTGATTTACATAATCAGGATTAAGGCTTTCATTCCCACAAGGTATGTTAATGTAAATTTTTGTATAAAAGACATTTAAAAACATCAGTTTGCCAAAGTGATATACATAATAATACATAATGTAACATAAAACTGTCATGGAAGAGACACAAAAAAGTGCCACAAACCTCAGACTGTACTTAAGGGCAATAATAAATAGGCTAAAAAAGAAAAATAGAGTTAAAATGTTGCATTACAAACATGAGAAAATGCACAAAAAAGAAATAGTCACATCCCTCAGACTATTGTTAAGAGCAATAGAAAATAGGATGGAAGAAAATTTTAATTACAGCTATCAAGCTGTGTCATAAGGCAGGGCATAAAAATGTGTCTGAAGTGAGGATTTAAAAGCAGTCACTGATGGGGCCAATCTAATATGTAAAGGCGCCTCATTCCAAAGCTTAGGGGCTGTAATTGTCAAGGCACAGTCACCTCTACATTTTTCCTTGATTTAGGAACAACCAGTAGTGAGTGATCAGCAGACCTACAGTATGAGGTCTGGACAGTAGGGTTTGCGAGGTTTGGAAAGATGGGGAGGGGCTAAGCTCTTTACCGCCTTAAAAGCCAAACATAATAACCAGACTCGACAGCCATGCTAGCAGCTCTGTGAGACTGTGTTTTGTGATTTTTGGATATGTACACAGTAACAATGCTAACATGCTGATGTTTAGCGGGTATATGTTATCATGTTGACCAGATGGCATTACAACTCAACTAACAGATATTAAGATAATTTGCCCAAACAAATGTCAACTTCATGGTGGTGTTAGAAGTAAAGTAAGGAATGTCAGTGGTCATCATAGTCTATGAACCATAAATATTTGTACTATTTTTCATGGCAGTCCATTAAATAGTTCAGATATTTCAGTCTCGGGTGGATCGGCCTACCAACATTATCATACATGGAGCCATGTCGCTAACATGGCTAATAATGTATGTACTGATTTTATTGCATAAATGTGATCACCACCCAACTCTTTAACTTTTCCTTTCCACAGGTCCAAGAAGCTGCTGTCCCTCCTGTCATGTCCAAGGATTTGAAGGAAATTGTGTTTCCACCACAAAACACGGACAGCCAACTCAAACGCATGAAGAGAGACTGGGTCATCCCCCCAATCAATGTCCCAGAAAACTCACGAGGCCCATTCCCACAAGAGCTTGTTCGGGTAACGTACCTCACTCAAACACATGCATGCACACACACACACACACACCAGTTGCACAATTTCGAGAAAATGCTTTTTGCTTGATATGACAGCCTTATAGGTCCCCGTTGCCCTGAGTTCCCACTCGTAGGGTCACAGACATGGGACTTATGCCTTCAACAAAATGCTTCATATTTACAGCACTTTGCTAAAGGTCAGGGCTCTTTTTTTCCACTGTATTATTTATCTTTTGTTTCAGGGGGAATTCGGTTCCAATATAATGCAGCATTATTTAGAAGCATAGAGAAATCTGAAGCGCTCACCCGCACAATTGTTCCTTGGTTGCTTGTTGAGATATTGTACACCTTTTATCACGGCTCAAGGACACACATGGCTCAGTTCTTTTGCAATAATTCTGTGGTCAGGGCTTGGTGTGGGTGGCTGACGGAGGAAAAGTAATACAGCAGCTAGGAAGAACTAGATCATTTTTACAACATTTTAAGTTGACTTCCATACCAAGTGTTAAGTCCTGCGCATGCTATTTGTATGTATTATGTTTAATCTGGTCATATTAGAAAGGAATGTTTCTGGGCTTTAGTGGATGATATTATGATAAGGAAATACTGCCTTTACTGAGCATGGATCCAGGGTTTAGAATCAGAAGCTGATTATGTTTGACTGTTGATCAGGAAAAATGCCATCTGAAGAAATCTCTATGCAATCTCAATAAATCTGTAGAAATTTGTAATTCACATTCATATGTTTTGACAATTTTTACACAAAATAATTATTTGGTAACACTTTATTGTATTGGTCTGTAAATTCCAGCTTACTTAAATAATTTCCTAAGAGGTTTCCTGCAAGGAATCATATAATTTGATGCTAAATAGAGGTGAAACTAAAGATTGATCAGTTGGTACACTTCCAGTTATTTCTAAATGCTAAGCTAACACAAACTTGAGGCTTTTATTCAAGAAGGTGAACTACACATGCACAATTTTAAATTGGCTACAGACAACCATCCAGTTCAGCGTGAATGAACAATACCATTTCAAATGATTAATAAATAAACAGGAAATATTGACTGATGTTTACACTGAGCAAGTTCATTCATAAAAATAAATTTGGAATACAATAATAACACAACTCAGTGGACTGACTAGGAAAAGTCTTAAAACTTTGGTATTAATTATAGAAAAAGAAAGACAAACTACATAGTTCTTTTGGAGGAAACCTTGAAAAAAGTATTAAGAAATAGTGGTACCAATTATTCAATTAATAATTTAAAACTAACCGGAACTGTGATGCGTTTTCTTACTGCTTATATTAGATAAATTGTCCAAATGGGACAGATGACCAATATTAGTTTATTGAGTGATAAGTACATTAAAGGGGAATCTTTATCTAGAAAGCCTGTTTATGCTGTGTTTATGTTAAAAAAAAAAAAAGGCTCCTGTGTTATTAGATATTTTATTTTACTTTCCTTTTTGATATCTGTACCAGCCTTAAAAATCCAGTATGGTTCAGACTATAGTTAGCATTTTCTGAAGTACTCATAAACAAATTTTAATACCCCCAGATCCGGTCAGACCATGACAAAAACCGGTCCCTCAGATACAGTGTGACAGGCCCTGGTGCTGACCAGCCTCCCACTGGCATCTTCATAATTGACCCAATCTCTGGAGAGTTGTCAGTCAACAAGCCCCTGGATCGAGAGCACATCCCCAGCTTCCATGTAAGTCAGAAACAAGAGTTCATAATGTTATCTTTAATAAGAGGAAAAAATGCATGAGGAACAAAAAGTACTGGCTTGAGGGGTTACTTAATCACAGCAGTTTAATGGATGGCACTGAGTAGTTTGTCCCAGTACAGTTGAGAACTGTCCTTGCTTGAACCTCTCAGTCCAGATGTATTTGTTTTCCTCCAGCTGCGAGCTCATGCAGTGGACCTGAATGGGAACCAGGTAGAAAACCCTATTGACATTGTGATCAATGTGATCGACATGAACGACAACAGGCCCGAGTTCACTCATCAGATCTGGAACGGCACTGTTCCAGAGGGTTCCAAGCCAGGTAATATATCACATAAAGCCCAGCACAGCACCGTATGAGCAAACAACTGGCTGTAGTCTGAGCCTCTTCCTCCTCATGCTGCCATAGCATTAGCAGATCAAATAGCATTGATGGTATCCCGGGGGTGGCCTTTTTGTTTACTTTGCTTCAGCTATATTAGAGCAGTCTGTGGTCTTTTAAGAATACAAGAAAGAACACTGTATATATTACAAAGGTAAAGTATAAATCTAGTTGTGTTCCAATAGCGCCAATCATTCAACTTTTAATATTTTAATTGCCAGTGAAAAAAGAAAGAAGCTCAGAGATTTAAAAGGAAAATATTTCCATCTTGCCTGTCTTTCTGTCTTATAGGATCATATGTTATGACAGTAACGGCTGTTGACAAAGATGATCCCAAAACAGCTAATGGGATGCTGCGTTATAAGATCCTGTCTCAGAATCCAGAGAGTCCATCGTCCAATATGTTCACCATCAACAATAAAACAGGAGGCATCATCACGGTGGCAGCAGGCCTGGACAGAGAGGTGCCTGGCCCTTTTTTCTTTCTTTATGGCCTTTCATTCATCCTCTTAGCTTTTTTTTTTTTTTTAAATTTCATATATCTTTGTGCTTTTGCCATTCTGCTTGTGAATCTTGCCATATTATAAAATTGTTTTATTAGCATTTAAGGGAAACTTTCAATAGCAAGTCTAAGCATATATTAATTTTGCAATACTTTTGCTTGCAACATATCAAATTTCATGTTTATATAAAGGGTTTTTTTTGTTTTTTTTTAAGTATGATGACAAAGCACAGCTTGAGTATTTTTGCCAATATCCAGACTGTCTGTGGACTAATGAACCAAAGTGAATTTTGCTGATTACCAACTAAATAAGAAGTAGAAATGGACTTGGCTCTTTCACACTTATTTACGCTTACAAGGAGGCAGCGTGCATCACTGAGCAGCTAAATGTTTTCCTTTCCTCAATCTCGCCTTTTTTTCTCCAGAGCATAAGTTTTACTTGCATTTTCTTTCTCTCATTTCCCGTGCTGTAAATGCTACCACTCTTTCATTTAATTGGATCGTGTGGCTGTTTGAGGAAATAAATAAAATAATATAGGAACCTGGAGCCAGTTGGTGCAATTCTGTTGAGGGCAATCTGGCTAGGTGACTGCTCAATCACTTCCGCCCTGGGGCTGCAGTTTTATGTCCGCCAGTTGCCACCATGAAAGTAATTTGCCCGACTCTCATTACCCAACAACTGGTCCATCACCTGAGTGGCTTTTAATGTGAAAAGAGTCATTTGTTAGCTTCATGATGGTGTAGATCGCAGAGGTTTAAGTTCCACACATGTACTCACAAACTTGCCAGTACATGTATCCCCCCCCCGCCCCATTGTGAATAAATCAGATTTATAGAAAAAGCCACCATTAGTCATTATAATTAGGAAGCTGGCCAATTCCAATTAGTTTCATTTTAGTTGAAAAAAATGACTACTGTTGCACACTGAGTTACCAGCTTAATGTACCACAATCCAATAAACTAGCAAAGAAATAAAACCTATCTTCATGTAGCTTGTAATGCTAGGTTTTTGCTGACACTGAGAAAGATGATATAAACTTTGGTCATTTTTGAGGCCTTGGTTTTGTATTGAATTGAATTATACAGTTTTAAACAGTGTTTCCTAATTGCTTGTCTTGTCTTTTACATATATGATGGTTGCAGAATTTTATGAAAAAAATGTCGATCTTATTGTTATGCAAAGAATTGTTTTAATCTGGTCATTGTTTCTCTTATCTTCCCTTCCAGAAAGTGCCTCAGTACACACTGATCATCCAGGCCACTGACATAGAGGGCAACCCCATGTATGGCCTCTCCAACACAGCAACTGCTGTCATTAAAATCACTGACATTAATGACAATCCGCCTGAGTTTACTGCTGAGACGGTAAGAAACAAACTCATATCTGAGACGTCACAGCAATTTTAGTGAAAGAAACGCACCACAACCACAAGAGCCCTCATTTCACCCTGATGTGGATACATGCACTCAGCCGTCAGTTCTGCTCACTTACCTAATTCTGCTTATCCAGCATTTCCAAACCCATACAGATACACAAGTAGCCAGCCATGCATAAAGTACTATATCTCACTCTAAATGTTGACACATGCAACTAGAAAGGGATGTTTGCCCAAGTGAAATAGGGACTTACAGTGCTTGCGAATCACTGAAATTTGTAATGCTGCTGTTGTGCTATCGGGGAAGACAGGGAATGAGATGACCATGACGACATGATAAGTTACCTTAGATGTCTATTTACCCAAGATTGGTCCTGCTGTGATGTGTGAGGCAAGGCTTGGTGTATTTTGTGCTGCCACAGCAGTATCACTAGCAGCTTGCTGCTCTATACATTCATGGTTTATTCATGCAGTTTTTCGGCGAGGTGCCTGAAAACCGTGTGAATGTCATTGTGGCCAACCTGACGGTGACTGACAAGGACCAGCCCGACACACCAGCCTGGAATGCTGTCTACAAAATCACTATGGGCGACCCCACCGGCAGGTTCTCTGTGCCCACTGATCCGACTAGTAACGAGGGCCTGGTAACTGTCGTCAAGGTAAGTCCCTCTTTTCAATCTAGTCTCTTTGAGATGCTGAAGGGTTTTGGGGGTGGTTGGCTCAGCACTTATATCTGGAAGTTACAATATTCTGTGTGTATATGTTTATAACATTTAATTAAACTTGATTGAAGTGAAGATATAAATGTCTCCCAGAGAACAAATTAATAATCCAGCTGTCCAGTTCAGTTATGTAATGTGTAGAAGCATTTTGTGCAAGGCAATAAAACTGGTAATGACTTTAGTGTTATAACACCTATGCTACTACCACATTCTCAGCTTGAATTGTGTGTAAATTTATATTATATGATTTAAACTAAGAATTTTAAAATTCAGTACACATTTCACATGAATTTGGTTGGTTGCACAACTTCTACAACTCTTACATTGGCCGCTCATGCTGTGGTGTCCTTCAGATGACCACTAAAGGATACAGTCCCTTTATCTCATCTCTCTGTCTGCATTGAGCTTTCACAGTACTATTGTTCACGATAGATGAAGAAAAAGCTTTCATTCATTGCATTGCTCTTTCACCAGTTTCACAATGCCAGAAATGTAATGTGATTTAATCTATCCTGCTTTTTGATGTGTTATATTTCTTTTCTCTATACGCTCTTTCTTTGTGTTTTCCAGCCTATTGACTATGAAATCAGTCGAACATATGTGCTGACTGTGGAAGCACGGAATGAGGTCCCCCTGGCCAGAGGCATCCACTCTCCTCGTCAGTCTACTGCCACTGTCTCCATCAGAGTGATAGATGTCAATGAGAGTCCCTACTTTGAGCCCAACCCCAAACTCATTAAACTGGAAGAGGGAATTATGCCAGAGTCAACTCTGACTACCTTCACTGCACAAGACCCCGATCGCTTCATGCAGCAAAACATCAGGTGAATTTTAAAGTAAAAAGGATAAAAACAGAAGCTGTCTGGTTGAAACATTACACATCTTGACAGGAATCTAGTCCACTTCAGTTCAGATGTGGATACTTTGAATTCCTCCAGTGTTTAAAGTTACCTTAATTTCAAATAATGCCTGTTCCTCACAAAAACACAGAACCACTTCTTATTTTTGAAACCACATGTTTTTAACACATTTAGCTAAAATTATTTGCAAAAATGGTCAAATGATTGTGTTGCAATACTGAACATAAAGTCCTTTTCAACCAGTGATATGTGATGTGAAGCTGACACTGATTAGAACTAGTTTTAATTTGCTCAGTAAATTGCTAATTATAATGATAATAAATTATTTACTAATTTGCTTCCAGAGTAAAATTCATCAACTCTATAAAAGCAAATCCATGTTCCCAGAGCATGCAGTGGAAACAGAAACTAATGTCCACCCTCTGAGTGTTCTTATTACTGCTGATATAAGTCAAGTTAAGATGACTTCATAGCTGTCACAGCTGTTTGACCGTGGAAGAGTTTATCTGCCTGAAAACAGTCCTTGAAAAATAAACTAGCTTTATAATTCCACAGTAATACAAATTAGTTTGAGCTGCTGACAGGCAGTTTGATCTCCCCTGTGAGGCTGAATAATTATGTAAAATGCATAAAGTGTAAAATATTCAATTTAATTATTTAATGTAAACAAAAGACGTTTTAGAAGAAAGACATGCCAAACTGTTAATGGAGGCTAAATTTAAACTTCCTTGTATAGAAAACAAAAAGAAAACTCGCATAACTCCTGACTGAAAATTTAACTTAAAGTGAGTAATAGGCATTATGAATTATTGTGTAAATCTCTTTTTTTCCCCTTCTCTCCAGATACTCCAAACTCTCAGATCCAGCAAACTGGCTAAGGATTGACCCCAACACCGGTCGAGTTACAACAACTGCCATTCTGGACCGAGAGTCACCTTTTGTGAAGAATAGTTTGTACAATGCAACATTCCTTGCTTCTGACAGTGGTATGTAACCATTCAAGTGATGCTACAGTTGCCAAAAAGTGCCTTGTTAAGCTCTTGTGATACATGGGTTACATGGTCTAGGTGTTTTAGCCAGGCTGTTACACAAGCACTCTATACCAGGCCATTACTGTTGGAGCATTCAGGAGGAGATAATGCAGTCTTTTCAAAAGGAGGCCTAGCAGATGTCTAATGTAGTCTACTTGTCAAAGGTCAATCTTCCAACCAGCATCACTTCAACTACCTCTGTGAGGTTTTTCACCTGAAGCCAGTGCACAAACACACCGTATCCATATCTTTTATAGCCATAATGACATCCTCCATGCTTGAAGGTCAGCCTTGTACCAGGCACTTGGCATGTCTGAAACGGTGACCACCATAGTTGAAGGTTAATATGCCAGCAATTCCACAACCATCCAGCCTGTGGATATATTCACCTCTTTCCTGCACTGGCGGGATTTACCTCTGTTCAAGTTTACCCTGTTCTCCGGAGCATAGCTTAGGCCAATAGGTTTAAAAAGTCTACCAATAAAGAGGTTTCTCAGCATTAATGGGTCAGGATTGGATGACTAGCTCCTTTGAGCGTGGCCTGAATGGCAAAAAAGCCTCTTAGCTGAGTGAATACATAGAGGAGCCTGAGAGGAGTGACAGTGGGCTCTGTATGTCTGCTTTAGTATTCCCATCCTGCGCTCTTCGTCAGGAAGACATTCTTCAGGCACACACACATACCCACACACTACCCAAATGTTCTGATATCGCTCTCGTTCTGTATACCTCCTCGCTGGAGATTAGATTCTCAGATCAGTATGCAGTTTGGATGGGGCTTCTCCCACTAGAGTAAATAGCTGTTTAGAGTGTCTTATTATAGCACGGGACCCAAAGAATACACTTCATGCATTCCTTTTCTCCATCACCTGCATAATGATTACAAAATGAGACCTAGCATTTCTATAGTATTTATTCCTATCCATATGTAAATTCTTCAAAATCCTTTCCTCATAAATATGTATGTGCTAAGATTTTGTGTGTGTCATTTTATGATCCATGTAGGTGTACCTCCAGCAAGTGGCACAGGTACTCTCCAGATCTACCTGCTGGATATCAATGACAATGCTCCCAGGGTATTCCCTCAGGAGGTGGAGATATGTGAGAAGCCAGAGCCAAATGCCATCAACATAACTGCTCTTGATGGAGACTTGAACCCCAACGCGGGTCCGTTTGCATTTGAGTTAGCCCACCGGCCACCTGATGTTCGTAGAAACTGGACCATCACAAGACTCAGTGGTAAGACATACTTTAATAAACCTAGTGTTCTTATAGTGTACATTTAAGAGGAGTTAAATGCACTGAGCCCCATTGGTACTGACTGCTGGAAAGTGAAAGCAGAGATGGAGAGATATACAGTATATCACAGAAGTGAGTACACCCCCTCACATTTTGTAAATATTTAAGTATATCTTTTCATGTGACAACACTGAAGAAATGACACTTGGCTACAATGTAAAGTAGTGAGTCTACAGCTTGTATAACAGTGTAAATGTGCTGTCCCCTCAAAATAACGCAACACACAGCCATTAATGTCTAAACTGCTGGCAACAAAAGTGAGTACACCCCTAAGTGATAATGGCCAAATGGGGCCCAAGTAGCCGTCTTCCCTCCCTGGTGTCATGTGACTCGTTAGTGGTACAAGGTTTCAGGTGTGACGGAGGAGCAGGTGTGTTAAATTTAGTGTTATCACTCTCACTCTCTCATACTAGTCACTGGAAGTTCAACATGGCACCTCATGGCAATGAACTCTCTGAGGATCTGAAAAAACGAATTGTTGCTCTACATAAAGATGGCCTAGGCTATAAGAAGATTGCCAAGACCCTGAAACTGAGCTGCAGCACGGTGGCCAAGACCATACAGCGGTTTAACAGGACAGGTTCCACTCAGAACAGGCCTCGCTGTGGTCGACCAAGGAAGTTGTGTGCCCGTGCTCAGCGTCATATCCAGAGGATGGCTTTGGGAAATAGGCGTATGAGTGCTGCCAGCATTGCTGCAGAGGTTGAAGGGGTGGGGGGTCAGCCTGTCAGTGCTCAGACCATACGCCGCACGCTGCATCAAATTGGTCTGCAAGGTTGTCGTCCCAGAAGGAAGCCTCTTCTAAAGATGATGCACAAGAAAGCCCGCAAACGGTTTGCTGCAGACAAGCAGACTAAGGATATGGATTTCTGGAACCATGTCCTGTGGTCCGATGAGACCAAGATAAACTTATTTGGTTCAGATGGTGTCAAGTGTGTGTGGCGGCAACCAGGTGAAGAGTACAAAGACAAGTGTGTCTTGCCTACAGTCAAGTATGGTGGTGGGAATGTCATGGTCTGGGGCTGCATGAGTGCTGCCGGCACTGGGGAGCTACAGTTCATTGAGGGAACCATGAATGCCAACATGTACTGTGACATACTGAAGCAGAGCATGATTCCTTCCCTTTGGAGACTGGGTCGCAGGGCAGTATTCCAACACGATAACGACCCCAAACACACCTCCAAAATGACCACTGCCTTGTTAAAGAAGCTAAGGGTAAAGGTGATGGACTGGCCAAGCATGTCTCCAGACCTAAACCCTATTGAGCATCTGTGGGGCATCCTGAAACGGAAGGTGGAGGTGCGCAAGGTCTCTAACATCCACCAGCTCCATGACGTCATCATGGAGGAGTGGAAGAGGATTCCAGTGGCAACCTGTGAAGCTCTGGTGAACTCTATGCACAAGAGGCAGTGCTGAAAAATAATGGTGGCCACACAAAATATTGACACTTTGGGCCCCATTTGGCCATTATCACTTAGGGGTGTACTCACTTTTGTTGCCAGCAGTTTAGACATTAATGGCTGTGTGTTGCGTTATTTTGAGGGGACGGCACATTTACACTGTTATACAAGCTGTAGACTCACTACTTTACATTGTAGCCAAGTGTCATTTCTTCAGTGTTGTCACATGAAAAGATATACTTAAATATTTACAAAATGTGAGGGGGTGTACTCACTTCTGTGATATACTGTATATATATGAATATGATTCTTGTCAGCAAGACTTAAAAAATCTTTCTAAATAGCACAATAGAAGGGGTCAGGTAGAGCATCCGTTAATTGTTTATGCACATTTGCAATAAAAAGATGAATAGAGAAACTCATTTGTTGTCTGTTAGCTATTAGAAAGTGTGTTTTTGATATGCAGTGAATATATCTTAACAGCATAATAGCATTTGGATTATTGCTGCTGGGAGTTTAGCCTAAGCTGCATTATCTAAAGGTTTTCAGTAGATTTATAGGCTGCATATCTAAATCCTGACCATGTTTTGGATTAGATATGCTGGATATTGCTGCATATTGGTGGTAATAGAGGTAATCGTACTGTGAACAGTGTCTATACAAACAACTTTTCAGAATCACCTCTGAAATACTTCTCTGATGAAGAAACATGTTATTTTATATTTCATCAATTTATCTTGTATAATCTGTATACTCACTTCTTCATCTGTAGCTCTTCAGGAAAAAAGCCATCATATATTGCTCACTCTTTTGTCTTCTCTCCTCTCAGGTGACTACGCTCAAGTGAGCCTGAAGATTGGTTTCCTTGAAAATGGTATTTATGAGCTCCCTATCATAATCACAGACTCTGGCAACCTGCCCATGTCCAACACCTCCTATCTGAGGATTAAGGTGTGCCAGTGTGACATCAGTGGAGATTGCACTGACCAGCAGCAAGCCTTGGCTGCTGGTCTGGGCACTGGTGCCATCATATCCATCCTCCTCTGCATCATCATCCTCCTCAGTGAGTGTCTCAGTGCCTCTCTCAAACAGCACATTGTACGAACATGCTGGGATTATAAAGACAGCTAAATATTGTCTGAGATACCACTAGATTATTGTAGGATTACCAAAATGATGGCTTTGATCGGGCTTCCATCCAGTCTTTAAAACATTAGATCTGATTACATTCGTACAAAAATATGAGTTATTATGTTTTGAAACACGAGAACTATCCCACTTTCTCTGTCTCAGTTCTTGTGCTGCTGTTTGTCGTGTGGATGAAGCGCCGTGATAAAGAGCGTCAGGCCAAGCAACTCCTCATTGATCCCGAGGATGATGTGAGAGACAACATTCTCAAGTATGATGAGGAAGGTGGAGGAGAAGAAGATCAGGTAAGAATGAGGTGACAGGCGCACAGTGTAGACTTCCTTTCTTCACCAACTTAAACTTTGAGCATTACTCATTTAGACATGAATGTTTACATTAATAGACAATATCTGAAACAAATTGTATTAGAGTTAGAGTTATGGATTATTTTTGGTGCATTTTATCTCGATAGCTCAGTAGTGATTGACAGGAAGGACATCACTGACAACAAACGGAACAGTAAATATTTGATGCACTGGTGTAATCATTTTCAACCTCTGGAATGTTTGGGTGTCATGCTGGTTGTAGTGCATCATGGAGGTGAATTTCTTTGAAAGGGTGACAATGGGTGTGTGTGGTCTTTGTCTGGGAGAAACATTAAGGTCACATCTCTGCAGCCTACTCGGAGTCCCTGTATAACTGAAGCAGCATAATGACAAAGAGGACCACCTAGTCTTTTTGTGCAAGCATACAAACAGTATTGTATACTTACAGAACAAAGCATTCTTTTTAGTGTTAGTCCTGTTCATTATTCTGCTCTGAGATTCACTTCACAGTCATTTCCAATGAAGAGCAAGACAGCTTTCACTGTAAATTATTTTTTTCCCTATAAAGTAGCTGGAGATCAAAACCTCAATCATTAAGGCAAACACAAATTGATCCAACTGGGTCTGGTAATAGCAGAAATGTTTCCTCAACGGAAACTGGTTCCCACTTCAAAGCCTTAACAAACACACACAATACAAATGCAGTGCCACAGGCATCAATAAAGTCACATCTCTGTGTCCCCCTGCACTGATCAGGCGCCCAAAGACACAAATTCAATTGTTTTAATGACCCCTTGTTAGCAGAACGGAATCATTTCAACAAAAAAGGCAGTATTATACCAAATGGGCAGTTTTCTTGCTGCTGGCTGAAGCGTTCCTATGGCCTAGGTAGAGCAGAAATGAGCGGGAGACCCCAGTCTGACCCAGCACAGTGCCAAATTAGCCTTGGAGACTTGTAATTGGTAAGCCGATGTCATTTGGAGACAGACATCTGCTGTGGCACAATAATGAAGCTCTGTCTAAGGTAACAATATGAGCCATTACACATCTGCCTGTGATTAGGCAGGAGGGAGTGCACCCACTTGTGTATTCACATCCCCACTTTTACACACAAAATACACAAGCTTGTGAACCAGAACATGTCAAAAAGAAACTTGCATGATATAACACCTCTCAAAGGCAAAGAAACCGGTGCAGCGATTTATTGAGGGAAAACAAGCTTCCATTTTGAGTGGCGCAGAGAAGGGCAGGGCGCCAGGAGAAAATGGTCTTGTCTGCAGAATCAGGGCAGTCAGTGTTGGGTAAAAAATGGACCTGACTTTCCCAGTGATGTGGACTTTATAATGCCCACCTCTGTTCTCACTATCTCCCGCTGGGGAGGAAATTGAAGTGTCATACCATTGGGCGCTTTCAGAGTATATGATTTTAGTTGCCGCTGCCATTGCCCTGGTTTGTATTAGTTTGTGAAGCACTCATTTCATCAAAGGCAGACAGCTGATCAGACGCCACTCTATGAACATGGAAGAAAATAATGGCAGAAATAAAAGCAAATTGAGATGTTGTTGTGCACAGGAAAATGTAAGGGCGTACTCACACTGGGCACAGTTGCCTTGTGCCGTGCCCGAGCACAATTGTTCCCCCTCCCCACTCTCCAGCTGACCTGTGCTCGCACTGCACTTAAAACAGCGCAGGCTGGAGCACGCTTTAGCACCACGGTGCAACTTTTTATTTTGAAGAGAAACACTCTCGCATAGAATTATTAATATCATTAGCGATCACACTAGTCAAACGGACTGGACTTTGGGGGTCAAGCATGGGCACTGTACAGTTCACCTGATGTGAGTACACCCTAAGACAGAGATGATTATGGACATTAACTGTAGACAGTGTGGCTTTGGTGGCATGCTTTGAATACTGTTAACTGCCTCATGTATTTGTCACCAGAGATGATAAAAATGAAAATCTGTGTGCTCATAAGTATGCTTAGTTTGATGGTCAAAGGTGAACAAGAAAATAATTCTTTAAAATTCTATGGATGTTTACAACAACTGTGTAGGTAATGATTTAACTGTTATTCTCTGTGTTCTCTTTCAAATAACCTGGAGTTTGTGTAAAACCGGTTTGATCATATGGCTGCTCATGTTTCATGCCTTGGATTTATTTTTAGCAATGTTGCTGCTTTCCTAGATCTTAGGAGGCTAATTATACAAGTATGCACAATATTACAATTTCCACTGGGAATGATGGCAAAAACGGCAAATAAACCTTATATTTTAAGGGAGTTTTGGGGCTTAAAACTCCCTGTTGGCATGAAGATAAATGCATTCAGTTCTGTTGCTCGACTGTGTCTCACAACAGAAGTGTACTGTATAAGGCTTAGCAATGTTCAGTGTCCCATGTTTGAATGTGGGTCATGAGTGCTAGGGGCAGCCATTTCACCAGGCCACTGTGTCAATTCCCTGAAGGCAGCTGGTATGTCATTAGACCTTCCTGCTTAGTTCAGCCATTGTACGGCTCTGTTACAGTTCCCATCACCAACTCCAGACCTCTCCAGTGTGTGACCTCAGAAAAGGTCAAACTGGAGTCAGGCCAAAACGTAAAAGATGATGGATGGTCTTATTGAATGATGTGTGATGACCACTGTTCTGCCGCAGCTAACCTCAGGGTTAGTGTCATTATGCATGAAACCAATTTACACATGTAATGCGCTTGTTTAGATTTGCAATGATACTTAATTGTGTGAATTTGAGTAGGTGTTTGTCAAGTGCCTACTTGCTTCATAATTTGTGTATATCTGGGTTGTTTGTGCATCATCACAGGGTTTATATTTATTTCTGTTTATTTTTACATCAGTGTGGCTTTTTTTTTTCTCCTGGGCATGAGCATGCGATCATCTGTGTGTGAAGGTACATGTGCAACTGAGCAAAGACAATTTTGAAGGGGGGATATTAGAGATGGATGGATTACTGAAGATTTTCTAAAGAGGGACAATCCATCATACACGCCTATTAGGCACACACCCTGATTCTCAAATGGCATTTTCTCTATCATATCTGCTGTCATTGTGATACCATCCAGTTGTTCAGCTCAGAGCAGCTCTGCTCTTCACTGCATTCTCTTTCTCTCTCCTAACTCCTTTTCTCTCTCCACATTTTCTCCTCCTCCTTCCCTGCCCATGACTTTGCACAAACCATGAGCCATTCATGTTGCCTTGGTAATGTTAATAGGATTAGCAGTGGCTTATACATATCCACCATCCTGCATCTAGACACTGATTGGAGCAAAATAGCCCCCCTGCACATCATTCCTGCAGCACACCACACAGCTACAAATACATTCCAGCTTATAATGTGGTCCTCAATTTGGACCCCCTCAGTGTTGGCTCTGTTAACATGACAAATTGTCTCTGGGCTTGTGCTGCAAAGACAAGAAGATTAAAGTCATGTTCCCTCTGGTTTCCTCACTGTTTTCAAACTTTACAATCTTCACTTCACTCATTCTTCCTCTGTATCAATCAGTGTACCTGTTTAAATAATCACAGTGTGGTATCTCACGCTGCTTGGCTATTCCCATCTGTCTTTGGTCCCCAAGGATTATGACCTGAGTCAGCTCCAGCAGCCGGACACGATAGAGCCTGATGCCATCAAGCCGGTGGGAATCCGACGTCTAGACGAGAGACCCCTCCACCCTGAGCCACAGTACCCCATGAGGTCAGCAGCACCCCACCCTGGAGACATCGGAGACTTCATCAATGAGGTAAAAATACCAGCCAGCAACTCTGAGATTGTTTTGCTGTATGAAATCAAATTCCACAAAAAGAACTGAAATGAAAGGATCAGTGCTGTCACAAAGCTTGAATTTCATTTTGAGGTTGAATGATTTTCTTATAATAAACTTGTATCTAAATAAACAATTTGGCTCATATGACTCTCTATCAAGGAGTTATGCACTGCCTTGTAGTTGTAGAAAGAAAATCACTTTCAATTGAATCAATTATTATCAGAATTGTTTTCATCTTTTCCCAGCAGGAAGTAGAAACTTTTCTCATCTCACATATATGGGCAAAGACATTTATAAAATCCTAAAGGTACCTGATGCTAACTCACTTAGATATAATTGTTTTTCTCTCCACTTTCCACCAAAGTCGAGTTATAGATGTGTCAGCATAGAAATAGAAGATGAGAGAAGCATTACATTGGCTTTCTATCAGAGTGCACTACAGAGTGCCCCCCTTTGCCTGAGGCCATCATTGACTCCAGCATGAAGGGAGAATGTAAAATGAAAAGAGCAGTCATGTATTTTTCACAAGCTCCAACAGACAAGAGTTTCACAGCATTACAAATGGAGTTCTCTCCTAGTTTTTGGATTGCGCCCATGTTTTTAGATTAGACTGTGCTCTTTCAGCTCTTCTCGCTGACCATCTATCTCTGATTCATTTACCTAGGCACAACTCATTTTCATTCTCAGTGTATCATGAATACACCTAATACACTTGTCGTAACAGCTGATATGGAGTGAAATTTAATTTTATATTGTCCAATAAAGGACAGTTTGACAATGTGCATGGCTGTTCATCAGACTTGTCATTTCAGTGGTCTAACAAGACTTGAGACTTTTGAAGTCTTGAGTATCCTGACCCAGAAAATGGTCGTTGCAACCAGGCAACGTGGATCTGTTTTTCGTCCCAGGTTTGACTGTTGCTAAAGCTCACTCATTGTAGCTCCTGCACTCACATGGAGTTGGAATCTGACCTAAATGATAAAGGCTAGCTGCCAGAGGAACAGGGAGACTGGGGGGGTGGGGGATGGGTCTCATCTCCATCTTGAAATGTGCCCATGCCTTGGGAGCTTGGGGCTCTTAATTAAATTAAAACTGGAAAAAAAACAGATTAATGCATGCATTTGGACAAACTAAGGTCTATTAGTCCTGGTCTCTTCTCACAGAGGGGGGTAACATTAAACACATTAGTAGGCAGTCGGTAAGCGTCTGTCAGGGCTCGTCTTCCCGGTGTATCCTACACCATTGGCACTAGTAGGACCCTGTTGGCACCTTTTCGGCCAAGATAGACACCGCTGATTGACTGTTCACAAGAAGAGAAATGTTTAGGAAAGCCCCTTCAGTCTGTTGCTGTAGTATCCATGATTTCACCCATTTAGCACAGTTTCTCCTTGTTTTTTTCCTCTACAAATTACTTTCTTCTACCACACCCAAAAGACCAAGGGCAGAGCACGGCAGTGCAATTTGTTGCTACTTATCGGACATACGCCCAGTTAGAATCAGCAGTTGTGTTAAATGAGAGCTGCTTTGTTTACAGCTTGTATTTCCACTGTGTCTAGGTCATCTTCTTTCCCTTTCTGATTGGTGAATGCAGATACCACCCAGATAAAGATGATGTGAGGCGACACAACAGTTGGCCTACATCGCTGCTCGTTTGTTCACATTGGCTTGGTGTGTCTTTTCCCATAGACAAACAAAGCTAGAGTGACTGCCTTCACTGTTTTGCATAGTGCCTTGTTTCAGCCTTGGCAAGTTTGTCTGTGAACAGAAATATCAGTGAGTTTGATAACGTGTCTCGTAGAGTGACTCCAAACAGCGAGGACAGTTCATTTCACAAAAAGATGTAATCATCAACCGGCGCAATGGCTGACTCAGTTATAATGAGGCTGAATTCTGTGATGGACTAACCTTATGAAACTGCCAGTGGGGTTTTGGTTGTAGATGGAGGGGAGCTATAACCAGCTGAGCAATTATGGTTGTAATTGTAATGAAAGATCCATCTGTCATATTCCAACCAAATTATCAGCACCACAGCCCTGAGCAAATACTTGACGAAAGCTAACAAGTGGAAAATAATCACTAAGTGCCCAAGCACTTTAATTCAATCCATCGTTTTATTTGAGAGCATTTCAGCGCTATAATGGCAGCATAGAGGAAACTATAAATCTTTGACAAGTTCCCAGTGAGGTCTTGTTTCTCTTGTGCTATTGTTACTCCACTTCTTTTAATTCATTTATTATTTGTTGGGTGTCCTCAGTTGGTGCAATAAAAGAGAGAAATCAGGCTTGGATCCAAAGTGGTTCATGGCCAAAGCACATCTCAACTCCTAGATTAGCAATCCATCAAGTCCCAACAGTCCCATTGTGGAACGAGGTTGGAAATCAATAACAATCCATAAGGACCTCTTCTGATGCTATGAGGATTTCTGGGAATGTCAAGCACAATCTTCAAAATAGAACCTCCCCCACCACCACCAGCGCCATGTTGTCCCACGATAACACAGACATGCACATGTGGCAAACACACACACACTCCTCTCATCTCTGGCTCAGTTTAGTCTTGTACTTATTGCTACTGATTAGACAGGAGTCTGATATATATGAAATATAGATATTGCTATCTAGATTACAGATGACAAAGTATCAGAGCTGAAGTTGTACTGCCTCTGCAAGGCTCTTTAAGATAGAAGAGGCCTTGCACAGGGGTTAGTGGGGGAAGGAGAGGTGGTTCAAGTAATCTAATGCTGCAGGTCATGCTCAATTTCTAAAACACAGAAAAAACCCACAGGAACACTGGAGCCTGATTAATTCGGATAAGTATCTGATTTCCTGAACAAGCAGTGGGAGAACCACAGACTGATGTTAGGATATGCAGCAATAGTGAAGCAATAATGGCTCACTCCTTGTCATAGACAGTGTTGCTGTTCAAACTTAGCTTAATTGTCTTATCTAACAGTGGCTTTATTTCTTTCTGTACAGGGACTCAAGGCAGCAGACAACGACCCCACTGCTCCTCCCTATGACTCCCTGCTAGTGTTTGACTACGAGGGCAGCGGCTCCACAGCTGGCTCCCTAAGCTCTCTCAACTCCTCCAGCAGCGGGGGTGACCAGGATTACGATTACCTCAACGACTGGGGCCCTCGCTTTAGAAAACTGGCAGACATGTACGGTGGAAGTGACGACTAGGACATACAGCCACTTCCTGAAGGATGAACAGATAAAAAAAAAAAACACCAGAAGAAGAAAAGGAAAGAGCTCCTGTTGATGGACATGGACCGCTTCTGATATTCCCTGAGAGAGTGACCAGAAGAAACGAAACAAAAAATAAACATTGATTCAGAATAAAAAAAATAAAAAAACAACCAACCTAGGCTTATTGTTGTAGTCTACGCATACATATGCTTGTTGAAAGCTTAGGCATAGGCTGTGGTCCAGACATGGAGGATGTGGACTGTCACCAGTCAGATTGTTGGTATTAAATGCGCTCAGTTACACTTGAATTTCACAGTACAGAAGCACTGGGATATAATGTGCCTTTTTGTACTTTTGTTTGGGAGGAGGGGTGGGGGGGGTGTCTAAATGATTAGTTTTATGTTAAAGGCTTTAATGGTACTGACTTTTGGAGTGATTTCAAACAAAGTATGTTGCACTCTGGTATGCTTCTACATGCTTTTTTCTCCTTTTTGTTACACAATGTTCCTGTTTGAAGGTTATTTAAATACAAGTCAAAGAAAATGAAGGATCCTCTGTTAGCATGGATGGAAAGAAACTCAACTAAGAGCAGCACTGTACAGTAGACTTCTACACTTTTTTCACTGAAAGTTAAAATTATGCAGCTGGTTGCAAATAAAGGGAGTTACGAATCATACTTTTGTAGCAATTTCTTTTTCCCTTTTTTTCCCCCTGAAGTGCAGTAGTATTTTACAGAAACATCAGAAAACTGTTTTGGTCTAATATATGTACACTTCATTTGCCTTAGTCATCATCTGATATTTTCAAGTTTTACTTCACTGTAAAAAGATGTGTGTACAGGTTTTTTCCTTTCTTTTCTTTTTTGTTTGTTTGATGTAGTATATGAAGAAGTGCAAAAAGTTCCAAACTTGTAAATGTATAATTTGGACTACAAATTAAAAGTTTTTTGCATGTTTTTATCTTTTCATGACAACAAAAATGAGAAATGTTGTTTCCCAAATTTATTTACAAAGTGAAAAAAATAAAAATCTGGGTGACATTAAATGTTTAGAAGTTAAGATTTTTTTTTAATAAAACATAAAAAAAAAAAAAGCTAAAAATTAAAAGTAGTGATCTTGTCAGCACAACTGTTGAATTTGTACCAAAAAGGGGAGGGAGTGACATGCTAGGCACTAATGAAGGAATCAGCTTTAAGACTGGAAGCGGTTTTGAACTAAAGCCTTGTGGATAACCATGTGTACTGGAAAACAAATTATACATCTCTGACCCCAACCATCCAAATAAAATGCTAATTTTGGAGCTAAAAATGCTTCGTTATTTGTTGTTACTGAAACTCAGCATTGTTGCAGAGGCTTAATTAGACTGAATTGTGCAATCTGTCTCAAAAGACAATAGCTTTCTACCTATTACCAGAAAGGAGAATAAATCATTTATGCCCTTATTTATTTGTTGTTTGCACACACTGAATAAATGCAGAATGCTTTAGGCCCATACAAGTCCATAGATGATAAGTTGTGTAACTTGGCAGGCTGAGAAGGAAACAATACATTCATTCTGTAACATTATCTGTGTGTCCCTAAGCTAAGTCAAGTTCAAAGACTCTTGGAAATCCATCCGGCACCTGTCTGGTATTGTAAAGTACTAGAGGTCAGGTTGGACTTGACCTCAAAATGAAGAACACCCCCCAAAACTGCCTATAGGGACACTGCATGGACTCCAGGGATATGCAGAAGGATAAAGATGAAAATGTGTAAGTCTGTGTGTGTATGCGGTAATGGTAGCAATCTGTTCAGCCATCATATGCACGGTGCCTTTGGGTGATGAAAGTCACAGAATGTCAGCCGTTTAGCTTTCACCTGCCCTTCCTTTCCCCTGCTTCTCTGTTATTATGGGACTTGTAATTCACAGAGTCACCACTTGCACCCAGGTCAATGAATATGGGTGTTGTTTAATCCAATCAAATTAGACAGGAGCAAGTTTGGTTTTGTAGTCCTCGCACAAAATGTGATGAATATCTATTAGAGAATAATCAGTGAACCGTACTTTCCTTTTGTTTTTCAGCTGGTGTAATCAGTGTAGCTGCTTTGTGTTAATCACGTTCACATCCTGTACCTCTGAAGAACACCAAAAGGTTTTTCATACATTCTTACAAAGTTGTTTTCAAATAACCTTGTCTGGTGGTAATCACTTGTTTCAGAGTATGTATAGCTATACACTCCATTTGCCAGAAGCAACACAGAATTTTAAAGTGCCCAGTGGGATGAAATGTTAAACAGCAGAGTGTCTGACCTCAAGGTGTTGTTTGAACAGCATCTGAATCATACTTGTTTTGCCAAATCACTTCCTTTAACTTTGAGATTTTCAAACTAGACAGCTGGTGATAATGTACAGCATGTCCTTTTGTTTCTGCTTTGCTAATGGTAGGGTTACACCTCTTAAACCTTTGCCTAATGTGTTTCCCTGCTTTGCTTTTGTCCAACTACAGATGTGGTGAGTCACTCACTGTTTCAAATGGGCTATCAAATTCTTTATATGGCTTTGATGTGTCCAAAGTAAATAAAATGTGAAGATAAGCAGGATATTCTCTCAGAGGGTGGTTTACACAATTAAGGGAATAGTTTTGACATTTTGCTTATTTGCGTTCTGACAGTGAGTTAGACTGGATGATTGATGTTACTGTTATACATATCTCTGTCATACCTCTGTCTGAAGATAAAGAAAAAATCCACCTACTGCTTACAAATTCATGTTTGTTTGAGTCCTGCAAAATCAAAAGTGTAGACAAATTACTGCTTTATGCTGAATTATGGTGCCATGTTATGGTGGCTATAGAACAGATTTATCACTTTTACACTTCAGTTGTTCGTGGATAAAACACAATAAAACATGGATTTTGTAATGGAACAAGGCTGTTAGTCCTTCTGCAAAGCTAATAATAACAGACTATTAGCTGTAGGCTGTAGCCATATATGTGAATGAATGAATGAAATTTAAGGTATAGATGTTGAGTACAGTATAAATATTCTCATCTAACTCTCTGTCAAAAGGCAAATTATTGATTTCCCAAGATGCAAAAAATGTCAAAACACTTCTTGAAATTATACACAAAAGCGACTACAATAGCTTCATAGCTGCAACACAAGCTACAATGTACACTTTTCCAGATCTTAGCGCTGCCGCTTCCCCAGCTTTAACTGCAGCCTTTCCCACTGCGCCATCTCGATGTTCAGATTTCTCCAGCAGGTTCATATCCACCAAGCAGTCAAGTTCTATTTCATTTTTAACCCCCAGCATTGTGGGGAAAAAAGAATTGATATTCTACCACTGTACTTCAATTTCACAACATAGATTATCCCCAAATGGCACTCTAAGAAAGCCCAGGACATAAGGGCAGCCAGTCCACTGTCCACAACATATAGTTCTGTACCATTTATAGACATGTAGCATTAGAGACTGTTAAACATTACAATTAAAAGGGAGGGTGTTATAATATACTATTACACAGGAAATTAATTAAAGAACAACATATTTTGATCATAATCAGTGAATTGACTGACTGAGCAGTAATTGGAACGACTATTGTGTGAAAAGCATATTTTCATCATTTACTTGCCATATGGTCCAGCAAGGATGGGTGAAATAATTGCTCAAAACAGTATCTCATTTGTACATTTTAGTTAGCTGACTGTTGGATAAAAATAGTAATGCATGGGAATTTGCAAAGCTAATTAAGTTGGATGGGAATAAAACTGGTCCCATTTGCCAGTCTATGTGAATGTCTTTGACATAGAAAATGCACATAAAAAAAGCAAACACCTCAGGAATACAAAAAGATAAATAAAAAGTGCTGTCATTTGCTGGCTAGCATTGCAGTCTGTGTTGTTGACTGAAATCTGGCTCTAACGTGCACATTGCATCCCAGTGACTCTATGTCATTTCCCATTCGATTCTACAATATGTGCTAGGCAGATTATTGTCTTAGTTTATTCGAAATAATAACTCCAAATATGAGGAGGAACTCAACTTATAACCCCCTGAGTACTCCCAAGATGTCCTCTTTGGAAAATGGCTGCAGATTGCTGTTATTACAAGCACTCCAGGGCCCCTTTTATTGACTGTGAAACAATGCTTTCACCAACACCCCCTCACCATTGCAGATTTACAAGACAGCCATCCTCAATACCTTCAGTGTGTTTGTGAGGATGGCTGAGCAAGTGTCACTGAGCCACCCAGCCTCCTTTGGGGGGGGACTGTCAGTAAACATGTAGAATACAGACTAGAATCCAATGCAAACCAGCCTCTAAGTTATGCTGTTCCTGACCTTTGGTGGACTTTGGGAAAATGGATGCTACCCAGGCCATCGATATAAATTTCTGGTTCACAGCAGAAAGAGCATATTACTTATAGTTTCCCAGCTCCTGCATGCTACCTTTGGAATGAATAAGTAAGTAGGCTGGATGACAGAGCGTGCACACACAGGGCACATACAGTCTTTAATGTATTTGTGTATAGACCTAGTCACTTGTGTAGAATCTGTCACTTTCATTTCTACTCTGTTGCCCTCTAAGTGTAATTTTAGATAAATTTGTTTGGATTGCTTCATCCACAGAGAGTGGATGGAACCTGCTCTTGAGTCCCATGTTTTTGCGATTACACCAACATCCAGCCTTGATCTACAGCTCCCTGTGTTCTCACTGACTGCAGGCAGATATCTCTGGAACGGCTTACCCTCTGTTTCAGCAGATATTGTTCTGCCTCTGTTCGCAATGCTGATTTATCAGCTCTCATTTATCAGGCCCCATCCTGCCATTATTCTCAGTCCCCACATAGCTGTGACACCGTGGTCACAGATCACAGGCAGAAGGGGCAGGATGAAAATGATGAACACCTTTTTTTTTGTAAGACGCATATTGACTTAACATGAGATCTTCAGCTCATACATGAACATTCAATGTCACTTTCCGCTGTTTGCGAATGCAGGGGAGGCACTTCTCATCTCACTGTGCTTCCCTTGCACGAATGGTTGATGTGCTCCGACAGGACATGTAATCAAAAACCATTCGCACACATTTACAGGCATCCGCTCTTTTTCCTCTTTCTCTCACAAACACACTTGAATGCACTTGTTTTCTTTATCCAAACCTGAAAATGGCAAACACTATTAGATTAAAGAATTGTTCTCTAGAGACGTACCTTTTAGTTTTTTACATTTTTGATTGTCCTGTGAAATAAAATATTCAAAAATGGAGTGAGGAAAAAAGAACTACAAAGAAAAAGAGGGGAAACAATGACTCCCTCGAGAGCCTTTGGATTTATTCATGCTTTTAAACACTTGACATTCCATCACCCTCTTGTCATTAAGGCTTTATGTCCCTTGGCTGCATCCACACAATAACAGGATAATTTCTTCCAGTGAGAACGAATATGTTATTGCTGTCTTGCCGCTGAGTAGTGAGCGACTTCCATGAGCAGTGGCTAATAACTGTGCTGAAGGCTAGACGCCTTGAGATCGATGTGCTGCAGATTGCACAATGGGGTCGTTACATTATTGTCTATATGGAGGTGAAAAGAGGCCAAACAGGGTGAGGCCAGACTTTCCTGTCTACTGACTCTATTGTGGTCACCCATTCGCATGGATACCCGGGGGCCGGAGTGACAAGCCACCAATCGGACA